TACGGGCAATCGTCACCCCTGGCTCGTAAACATTCATAAGGGCTTCATATGGGGTCTGTGAAGAATCCGCCGCCAAACATGCCCCTTCTTCGCGGGCAACCAAAACGAGTTCCTTCAATACGGGTAAGAAATCGGAGAATTTATTATCAGACCGGCTTTTTCTCCATACCTCATGGGCCATAGTGGTAAGTTTCGCCTTACGAGATAAGAAATCTTCCGATAGTAAGCTCATGCGCTTCCATAAAACAGTCATTTCCCGAAGATTGCCTTTCTGAACAGCAGAAAGTTCATCTTGTGCTGCGGTGGATTCATCAATCCACTTCTTCACATCTGGTGCAGTAATGTACTGATATTTGAGTTTCTCCAACATTGCAATGGCCTCCCCGCGAGACTCCTGACCTTTAGGAGGCATATACGTCCTGATATCCCAATGACATAGCCCAAGGACATGTTGAAGACGATAAATCGTTTCGAAAAGAGACTCCAGCTGGTCAAATGCGGACATATCGAGTAGCTTTAGGATTGAGTAAAATCTTAGTTTAATATTTTAAAAAAATGGTGATGATATTTGCTTATAAAATTATAAAAAACGACCTCTGGGTTCAAGCGCAGAAAATATAATTATAGCATCGTTCTTCGTCAGTCTTCCCCTCTCAGAAGTTGGACAAGGTATCCGTAAACCGTCAAATTTGTGAAATATGTCCGCATTTACGATGTCTAACATGTACACATACCGATTCATTTTGTTCTGTGTTGTTGTTTAAAGTTTACACGCATTAGTTGATCTTTCACATCGTAGATGTTACTCCAGTCATTGGCAATTAAACACGGTACCGCACCTTCCTTCTAATCGTTGTCATATCCAACTCCCCTTCTTCTTATTATTCTACTTTCCTTTTCACTTAGACTTCGAAGCTTAACACATCGCCTTTTCTCTTTCAAAGGATTTTCTCTGAATTACTTTAAAACGATGTAAAGTTTGACGACCGATATGGAGGTTTAGGTAGGTGGGATTTAATGGAACGTATGCAAATGGCTCGATAATAGCTGATTTGATGTCCCCCGCATCACTCCCCGCAAACTCCTCGCCCTTCCGAATATTCTCCTTCACGCGCAACCGCTTGAGCGCCTGTTTCGCCTTCTTTTGTTCACGCAGCTTTGTGAGGTGGTTTGGAGCTTTCCCCGCCCCGTGTCCGCCCGCTGCGGACGTTTTCCAGGGGCACGGCGGAGCAGCCGATCTGCCAGGGCCTCACGACGCCGACAGTCGTCCTCGTAAACCTTTTCCGCCCTCGTCCAGATGTGCAGTTTTCCATCGTGGAAGTCGAGATAAATGGCGTCGTCGTTCACTTCCTCAATCCCTTGCGCAAGTTGGTGGCAGCCCCCGCAGAGTGTGTAAATCGTGCTCGCACTCATATCCACAAAACTAGGGCTCGACAAGAACGCTACGAGTGGTTCAAACAACTCGCAAAAAGAGTCCTCGGTGAAGATGGTGGGGAGTTGACAGAAACCCCGCAGCGATGCGCCAGTACTGATTAAGAAACGCCGCCCATCGCGCGCGTTTGGCCAGGCGTTGGGCCTGCTCGGCCTCCCGCAAGGGTTGGCTCGCGAATTGAATAAAAGGGAATATTTCCTTGACAAAGCAAGACAGAGAGTCGTGAGAGGCCGCGGAGCGAAGGATGCTGAGGGTATAGCTATTTGGCCAGCGCTCCGACGCAAGAGCAGCCTCGTGAGGGTCGAAAGGAGGGTTTCCGCGAACTCCGTCACCGTCATCACTCGGGTGATACCCACCAAGATGCGCTCAAGCCGCCTGTTAAGCTGGACATCATCCATCCCCCGCAGTTTGTGCAGGACCCGCATCAAAAACCCCACGGAAGGAAAAAGCGCTCGGTAAAGCGGCAGGGCCCACCATGTCATTTGGGGTAGTTTAGACGATTAAAAAAACTTACAAGAAGCTGGGCGGCGAGCCCCAATGACCCTGATAACCCGACTCTTCATCATCCCTAGTGTTCAGGTTGTCGCACAGGATGGTCGTTGCGCGTGTGCTGTCGGCGCTACCGATACTCATACCCTCT